AAAATATGTTACTTAGACATCCTCTCCACTTTTTTCAATTTAAAGAATTACAAATTTAGCCATAATGTGCTACTTTTTTACCTCTATTATGGACATGTCAAAATAACAATTTGTGAAAGTCAGAAATTAATCCAATGTAAAACTTGACATGGTTCTCTCAAAAGAGCAGAAGTAAGCAAATTTCAGTTTGAGGCTTATCAATACTGATTTAACAGTGATTTTAATTTCAATAAACTTCTACCAGAACTGGAAAGCAATTAGGTTAAAAACTGCACTTCCATTGAATCCAAATATTTGAGTTAGTATGGTTTTTGTTTATGGAGCCTTTGTGATAGGGTGTATTTTTCTGTTTCTGTTTTGCATATTAAACCATAACCTCTGTGTTAATTGCTAGAGGTGCTAATTTACCAGATAGCTATATTTGGAATATTTTTCCTTTGAGGAGGAATGGATGAGATGACCCTTTGTAACTTATCTTTAACATTCTGGTTAAAGGTTCATAGGAACAGAAAAAAGCATCTATAAATCTAACCAATGCAATTGCTTTCCTGTTTCTCACATCAACTTATTTCTAGAAGATTCTCTGCATGGCTTAAGTTGTTGCAAAACATTTAGAGTTACAGCGTAATGTGTGCACATAATGATTTACAGAGGATTGTGGTCAGCCTTTCTGAGCTACCTACAGCTGCCTTACATTATAGATTGCAACATAGGAATTATTTATTTAGAACATTTGTAAGGCCTCCCATCTTCAATACATAAGTTGAATAACCAATTAAGGAAAACAATATAAAATAATCCGATACCAAAATTAAAAGCAACCTAATATAAAACAATGTTAACCCTCACCACCACCAAAGCACTATATAGCAATTTGCCAAAGCAAACAGGCTTCCATTGAGTTCCTTTAACATCTTGGCCCTGATGCCTGCAGGAAAAACCGGGTCTTAACAACCTTCTGGAAGGCTGAAGGAGTTGTGGTCCTTCAACTTTCAGTGAAGAGACTGTTCCATTCAGCAGTGAGAAGGTACATCTTCTGACATTATTTATTTAACTGTTGCATCTAGGGCATGAGTCTGCAACCTTAACACTGAAAGAGCCATTTGGGCCTATTTCTCACAGAAAACACTGGGAGCCAATAATTTAACAACCGGTGTGACTGGGTGGCCAACTCGACGTCCCATCTAGTCACCTCCTGATCTGGAATATGGAGCAAGTCTCCATCTCCTGCCATCACCCTTACCTTTTCAGGCCAGATGAGGAGTGATGGGGAGGGGCAGGGCCAGCCAGTGGTGGGATCAGTTGACAGGGAGCCACAGCAGAGGGCTGAAAGAGCCGCATGTGGCTCCAGAGCTCTGCAGACCCCTGATCTAGGGGAACGGACAATAGTCCTCAGGTGACCTCACAGATAACTTGGTCCCATGCCATATAGGAATATAGGCAAACCTGTATATGGATGGACTATATTACCCTAATCCAACTGGGGCTAAAATATAAATGACAGTGAGCAGAACTCCTGGTCCGAGAATGGGTGCAATTAGCACACTAGATGCATCTGTGCAAAACTCCTGGGCCATGGCTGTCACTTGGTCTTCAAGGTTAGGTGCTGCTGGTTTAACTCTAGAAAGGTCTAAGGCAGGGTTCCCCAACCCCCAGGCTGCTGACCAATACCAATTCATGGACCATGAGAAACCAGCCTACACAAGCGAGCAAAGTCTCATCTATGCATGTGCAGGACCAGAATTGTTTTCCACTGAACTGGTCCCTAGTGCCCAAAAAGTTGTGTTTCTCAACCTCAGCTATTTTAAGATGCCTGGACTCCCAGAATTCCCTAGCCAGCCATGCTGGTTGGGAAATCCTGGAAATTGAAATCCATACACCTAAAATGGCTGAGGTTGAGAAACACTGGACTAAGGTATCTGCCAGACTGTCCCTTCCATACAGAATCGTCCTATCCCAACAAAATAAATTAGTGACACCTCCATTATTGAGGGGGTGAAGAGTGAGGAGGCAGTTGCTCCGTGGCCGTCCCTTTTCTTTTTTAATAATTTGCCCTTGACCTTGCAGAGGGGAGTAAAAACTGATTTGTTCTGAGCGCGATTAATAGAAGCCACCTGCGTTTTGCATTGGGGCTCCATGTTTCTTGTTTTGGTTGTAATCCTGTTTTTCTTATTCTACTATGTGTCTGTGTAGATTGTGATCTGTATTAACCAACTAAATATGCTGCCCAATGTTACCTTGTGGCTACACAAAGGATGACTGTGGGAGCAGTAAGCTTTTCAGATGTATAATCCTATGCCAAACTTCCAAGGGACCCTGGCATTCTCTGGAACATAATCTAACAACTCCCGATTTAGTCCAGTTAAATGGCTTTAATTATGCTAAACATATCCGGTTCTTGAAACCTTTCCATGAGCAATGGGTATTTTATAACAGGAACCTTGGTGGGAGATTGCTGCTTTCAGAGGCCGTGAGTCCAGTGAGCTACCATGGAGAAACACAGACTATGGCTGTGAAACAATGACATTGACAAGTCCATGGCCCTCCTGTTCCTGTCATGACCTTCTGAGAAAAGCCTGGCTATTATAGAAATTTACCCTAAAAACAAGCAGAATGGTGCGGCAGGACACTGAAGATCTAACATGCTCATCCTTGTCCTGCTTCATTTGTTCCTTAGATACCAAACTGGAATGAGAGATGTGACCTCCAGTGCAATATGGTGATTTATAGTGTCAGATTAGAAGGCTGGGGAGATCCAAACCCAAATCACTACTCAGCTTACAACTGTGATCCGAGTCCTAATCTTTTAGGGTAACCTCAGCACCAAAGACTACACAGGTAGTCCTCGACTTACAAGTTCATTTAGTGACCACTGGAAGTCACAACGGCATTGAGAAAAGTGACTTATGACCATTTTTTTCACACGAGTGTTGCACCATTCCCATGGTTGTGCAATTTACATTCAGATGCTTGACAACTGACTCACATTTATGACGGTTGCAGTGTCGCGGAGTCATGCAATCACCTTTTGCAACCTTCTGACAAGCACAATCAATGGGGAAACCAGATTCACTTAACAACCATGTTACTAATTTAACAACTGCAGGGATTCCCTTAACAAATGTGGCATCAAAAGCTGGGACAAAATTCACTTAACACATTTCTCCCTTAGCAACATAAATCTTGGGCTCAATTGTTGTCATAAGTTGAGGACTAGCTGTAGTCAGGAGAAATGGAGGGAGACTGCGAGGAGAACTTACGAATGAGATAAAATGGCATCTCTGCTTGTGTCACAGATTGGTCATCATAACTTGCCAACTTTGTTGTTGGCTTGTTGGTTCTCCTGATAGAGTATTTGCCTACATTACTATTTAATCATCCTATTTTCTTTACCACATGTGCTAGCTGTGGTACAGTGAATTTGTACCTAATTCTGAAACATGTTCTCATGCAATTTAGCCTTTAAACAAATGTAACAAAATCCAGATGGCTGCTTTTGTTAAAGAAAAGTTATTTCAGAAGGGGGCAATTAGGATCCAAACATATGGGGAGTGTATATGTCTTTAACTCTCTCACTGTCTATGGTTTTTCTCTAGCAACTCTTTCCCTTCCCCATAGGATTCCTGAAGTATGTTTATCTTTTGTGCACTATTTGGCTGGTAAAATACCCGCTGTTTGGCCCAATCAAGCCAAAGTAGTTCAACGCATTTTCAGTTTTAAAGTCTGGGAAATGTTAAAACTATATGGGAGCGTGACTCAATGGAAAATATCCAGATTTGAGGTATACATTTTCTAAATTGTTTGGAAAACTATCTTTTAGGAAGTTCAGGTTTTGATATTCTACAAGCAGTCTTGAAAAGTGCGTAGTAATAATAGTAGTAGCAGCAGCAGCAGCAGTAGCAGCCTACTGTTCTGTCATAACTGAGAAAGCAGAACATACTAATTTTAATGGGTGGATTATTCAACTACAGCTAATAGCAGGGAACGAATTTCATCTTTCGCAAATGTAATTGGTGGCGTTGAAAATGAGTATTCGAAGTCTCTCTGCTGCTTCTGGAACCTCTCAGCAAGAGAGAATGAAAGTATTTTCAAAAATAGAAAGAGCCATTGCCTTTTTGTTCGGTGGCGAAACTATTTTCGACTTCCTTCAAAACACTCAAAACTTGGGATCTACGCTAACGTCTTGGCCAGGGGCCAAATTACTTATGTGGAAGACAATTCCTTAATTAACCGCCATCCTTAACTTTACCAGAAAGAAAAGTTCACATTGAGCTTTTATGAAGGGCTTCCTCCTGAGAGTCGCCTCAGAGGTTCCACAGGTATCCCCAAGCGTTTGTTACGCCCTGCGGCCAGTAAGAACCTTTATGGTCCCCGGTCCTGCTGCAGCCTGAAGCTGGGCGACACGGAAGCCCGTGACGAGGTTACGGAGCAGCGCAGGTGGCGGAGGCGGCGGCAAGAGCCCGGCTGAGTCCAGGTACCTTTTGGCTTAGAGCTCCAGCCTTGGGGCGGAGAAGGGGGGGGGGGGGGGGGGAGACGGTTCGGCTGAAGGAGTCTTTTGCCAGCAGCCGGGAAGGGTGCACGGCAACAACTTTGCAGATTCCTCGCAAGATTGCTGCTGCTGCTGCTTGGTGGTGGTTGGGAGCGCGGAAGGTAGGGCAGGGCCTCCGCTTGGAGCTCCGCCTTCAGGACGCTGGGCTGCTCCGTTTGGGGCCGACGGAGCCGGTGCGAAGCGAGGAGGGAAGACCACGGCTGCCCTCGCGGGGTCTGCTTGCAAGAGGATCGGATCGGAGCCCCCGCAGCTTCGAATCGCGGGATCCTCACAATCCTGCTCGGAGCAGGGAATCCTCTTGCCAAGGGGAGCGAAGTCCCGAAAAGAAGCGCCAAGCAGGAGGAGCGTTTGTGGAGAGAAACCTGGCTAGCTGGCTGGCAGAAAGGCGCTTTGACAGAAAAAAACAAAACCAAACCAAACCAAAACAACAACAAAAAAAGGCTGGTAGCCACAAGACATCTCCCGTCCCAAGCCAAAAGATCTGGACTGGCCGACAGATTCCGGATTGGCGAGTGGGAAAGGCCGGGCCAGAAAAGGGGGACCCGGAATCCCTGCATTGGGCTATGAGAACTCTCTCCGAGGATTGCTTTAGGAGCCCAGACAACAGGCTGGCTGGGCGGCCGGCTGGCAGGTTCCCGTCTCGCGGAGGCGCTGTGGAAAGGTTGCTGCTGGCGAGATCCTAGTGAGTGGATCGTGGATCCCTTTGAAGGGATCCCACGAAATATATATGTCTGAGCGAGAAAGAGAAAGGGGAGCGGCGAGAAACGAGCGATCGGAGGAATACTTTTCCAGGATCTCATCTCCGCCACAGATTTGAGCGACCCTTCTCGGCTTTTCTTTTTCCCGGAGCGATCCTCCCACTCTGATAGAGCATCCTGACCGCACCAGCCAGGTGGGTACTTCGGAGCAGAGTTGAGCCGCAAACTGCTCAAATTTTCCTGCCTGCCTTCCTGCTTGGGGAAAGGGGTCCTGAGGCCCACTGCAGAACCTGGAAGTGTGGCCCCAGGAGGCTGAGTCCATCGACCCTCGCTCGCTCGGGCTCTGCTTCCTCCCTTTTCCTTCCTACAGATCACGCTTCTTTCTTGTGTGTCAGATGGCTTGGCTAAAGGGGGGGGGGGGGAAGTGGGGGAGAGAAGAGGCATAATTGAAAAATCAGGTCATGATTTCAAACTGCTGCACAGCTGGCTCGTGGCTGTTCCATGTTCAGCATAGAGGCAGCCCCCCCCTTTTTTGCTGTGTTTTATTGTTGGGTACACTTCTGTAGCTATAATCTTCTCCCTCTCTCTTTTCACCCCACCAACACCCCCCCCCTTCCAAATTCTGGAGGGTTTATGAAGAGCATCTGTTGAGCTGTGCTTCACTTGTTTTCCTCCACTCCGCCCCTAGGATGAGCTCTGTGTCTGTTGGGGGAAATTGCATCCTGTTAGATAAATGCCTATTCCTTTGTGTGCAGGGCAAAAAGAGCCTGGGGAGAATTGGGGGGGGGGGGGTGCAATGGAGTTGAGAGTCTCTAAGGAGAGGTGGGGGATTGAGGATTTCTAAAGAGAGGAGAAGAATGCCCTTGGATGGGATGGTTTGCGATACCAGCTGCCTCACCTTTCATCTTCATCGAACTGCTAGTATATTTTGAATTCCTCAAGAGAAGAGGGATTTGCAAACATCTGGGGTCTCTTTTTCACAGCCTAGGTCAGCTTGCTTTTTTCTGTGAAAAAGAGGTCCTTCTCAACCCCAATGCAATATTGCAATGTTTCCTTTGCTTGACAGAAAAAAGCAAATGGATATTAGAGACAGTATTACTTACATCACCTGGAATTCCCCCTCTCCATTTGCCCTGGCCCGAAGGGGAGGGAGAACCCCCTTCTTATTAGAAACACGAGTCAAAACATGAAACTTGTCAAAAGCTTTCTTAAATCACACCTAATCCGCTCCCCCTGCTAGGCTGGTCCAGACTGGCTCCCCGCTCTCTTATTATGTGGGATACACAATGAATGATTTTTCCTGTCTTTGCACAGATTATGCATTGCATTTACAAAGGCAGTGGGAATCACACAGACATGGATTTGTTAATCCAGTGGAAAGCTAGTATGATCTGCTACCATGCTTTTAGATTGCTGGATAGGGCTGTGGGGACCATTGGCCTTTTTACACAACCCAGTGGTGTTTGTCTGAGTTGCTTTTCTGTATTTCCTCTGGTTTCAATGTCCAGTTTTCCATGCATTGTGACAAGGAGGAATTGTTTCTGACGGAGCAAGGCTTACTATATTGTAGCTGCAAATGCTGAAGCTTGCAGGATCCAGTCCCTCACAACAATAGCCTAAGATGGACATTTTGTGGTAACCTAAGAAGTAGGGTGTACATTTTGGGAACAAATGAATTTTTTTTTCAGAGACTGACTAGAAGGAGATTTGAAAGAAGAACCATTGGTAGTTTTGTATCTATTAATCCCCATTCAACTCTGTTCAGCAGATTTCTATACTTAAACAAAAAAAAATCTGCAAAACCAGTTTGAACCAGAGGCAATAGTGGAACAAATATATGTTCTGTGTAGCTTGAAGAGGGTTGCCTCTCTCACATGCCTTTTCAGCACTCTCAATTTACATAATTTATACAGTCTAGGAACAGTTTAACCCTGAATCTGTTTATAAGATTGCAGCCTTATGTGCGGTAGTGCAGAACACACGGTGACGTGCTGGGTTCCATTCGGCACCTCTTCCTTGGGGAAGTTGCCACCTGCCATTCAGCTTTTGGACTTTTTGCTGTATAGTTTCCCTGTGCAAGAATGTTCCTGTATTTTGGTATGAATGGATAGAATTGTAAAAATGTTCCAGAACTGGGGTGTGCAGAAAGATGAATCCAGCTGAGCTGCCCACAACTGCTAACTTAAAACCACCCCTGAGGTGAAGTTATTTTTGCCTCTTAGGAAGTTCCTCTACCAAAGCACACACAACTGACAACTTGTATTGGACAACACAGCTGCCCAGTTGTACTTAGACACATTTCACTGCCCGGCTCCAATCAATTTGGTGTTTATCTGAGCAAGTTGCTTGCATTCTTCTGTTGGTGGGCAACTGAGAATATATTTCTCCTTTCAGAAATATTTTAGAGGTTGAAAAAAGTGTTCGTATAGACTTTCTTTGTCTGTGGAGATTCTCAATCATGGTTGTCCCAAAGGTGCTTTTTCAGGAGGCAACTGGACTTTGTTTTTCCTTGAAGATGTTTCACTTCTCACCCAAGAAGCATCTTCAGTTCTCATCCAAGAAGCTTATTTCAGTTTTGAGAACTGAAGAAACTTCTTGAATGAGAAGCAAAATGTCTTCATGGAAAAACGAAGTCCAGTTGCCTTTTGAAAAAGCACCTTTGGGATAATAGACTTTCTTAATCTCTTTTATCCCTTGCCAATTCTTTGCCAAAATATTGCTGTGATATAACTCCCCCTCCCATTTACTGGATGATCTCACCTTTGCTATGCATATTTAACATCCTGTTCATCCTAATGATGCTTGTGCAAGTGAATTTCCCTGTTAGATGATCCACATGTATGCAAAATCTCTCCCTTTATCATACTTTGCTGCTCCTACTGGCAGCAAAATCTGCTCCCTGCACTGGCTGGTAGAGCTTCCTCAGTTGACCCCAGACCTGACAACTTTTACAGCCAAGTTGGAGCTCCCTGTGTCTTGCATGCTGTACTATTATTATTATTATTATTATTATTATTATTATTATTATTATTATTATTATTATTATTATTATTATTATTATTATTTTGTTGTTGTTTTGTTGTTATTGCATTGCATTGTTTTCTCTGAAGAGATAGTCTTTTCTAAGTTGAACTTGATTTCTGGTTACTTTTTATTTGGGCCCATGATATTTTCTTGTCATGATATGGATTTAGCCAAGTATTTCTCCATCTTCACCTCCCAGCATGCTAGGGAATTCTGGGAGCGAAAGTCCACAAATGTTGAAATTATTGAGTTTGAGAAACCCTAGGCTAGCCTACCTGAACTTCCTAGAGGACTTCCCATTCAAATGCTAAATTGCTTAGATCGTATATCTTGTGAGTGTAATAGAGATATCGCCAGACTAACTCAGGAATCTTGTTGGATCAGAAAAAAAATCTGTTTTCATTTTGTTTTCCAAAATGGTAGTTTGATGCTTCAGGAAAACTCAAAAAGTTTTGAGTTGTATGTGTATTGATATTTATTCTGCTAATACTTGAGCCAAAGACCAGAAATGTATTTCATAACACATCCTGTTTTCTCTGATTTGCTTCACTTTTGGCCATGGTGCTTTATTGGAGACTGAAATCCCAATGCAAGTAATCTTGAGGGGTTTTTAGGGGTTTTTTAATTAATTGAACTGTGGATTATCTATCAGTTTTGAAATGCCAACCCTCTGAAGAAGGTAATCATATTAAATAAAACTATCCTGTGAAATACAGCTGGTCTACTGATTGTTATTCGCCATTCCTAATTATTAGTACCACTCCAATGCTCTGAATTTAGTGGTTGCTTGTAGTTTCAATCCTGCCTCCAGTTTTTCTCTCCAGTATTTTTATAGGACCTTCTAGAATCAAAGCATATTCTGGACTCAGTATCAAAATTATTGAACCAGCATTGAATCCAAGCTTCTTTTCAGAGACGTTTGGTGGGCTACTTGATTATCATGTTATGGTCTAACCACAAATTTTTCTTCATATTCTGTATCAACACATTAATGTGCCAGAGCTGCTCACAATCTGGGTTCCTTGGACACATTCTATCAAGAACAGCTGTTTACAGAAGGGCATGAAGCTTATTTGATAGGGATGGATCTGTTGATGATGGCCAAGGATACATGCCAGTGTAGATAATTTGCTACCCCCATTTTTTTTCTTGTATAACCTGGATCCTCTTTGACTTCATCACCAACATGGTATCCTACAAAACACATGATTGCTATAGTAGAAGGCTAAAATAGGCTTCGTATAGTTTACAATAAAGCAAAAACTCTACCTCCATCTAGAAAGCCAGAATCATGCTTGTGCCACTTTGTCTTGTATAATTGAAGCCTCTAATGCCCTCCCCAACTACTAAACTGGTTTGCCATGTTATATGCAGGCTGGGCTACAGATGAAATTCTATGGCAGTCCTGCCAAGAATGCTGAGTTTTGAAGCTCTATAAATTATGCAAATGTACATAGTTTGTCTTTTCATAATCCATAACGCTAATTTTACTAGACTGCTTCTGTTGATTTTGGAATGGGAAGGAAAGTTTCTACTTTGGTCATGGAAAATCTTGGTTCTTGATTTTAAAAATCTTTATATCTTCAAGAACCAACCTCTCCTTCTCAGAGAAAGCTAAGCTTTGTGCAATAAAAATACATTGTACACTGAGAAATTGCTCTATTTTTGTGGGCCTGAGTATAATAGTCACATACACACGCAGTTTGATTCAGCAAGGATTTATAATATGATTTGATTATTGATTTCTGGATGCTATCTTCCAATAAATTATCAAAAGGAGAAATTACATGGTTTTCCTCTGGGGTATTTGTTATACAATCCATATTGTCTATTAGTAATGATTATGTAGGATTATTTAAACTTGTTTTGTCACACCCAAAAGTTAAGCTATTAAATCTATCTAATTTAGTTATTCCTCAGTAACTTCTAGTATATTTCCAGGCCCAATTTTTTTTTTAAAGAAAACTGGTTTTGATCTTTACAGCTTGGAGCTGTGGACTTGTGGAATTGCTTTTTCCCATATATGTATAATCAATTTTTTAATGCCTTATATATTACCATGCTACTTTTTGAATTTATATTTTGTTGGAAGCTGCCATGAAAACATTCTATAAGAGGATTGGTAACCTGTAAACACTTAAGAATAATAATGGATTTTTTTCCCCTAGAG